ACCAAAATGGAACAATATATTTAAATAAACCATTTGTTTCACTGCATCTCCAATAATATAAATACAATATGGTCATTTATGAAATATTGTTTCTTGTTGAAAAGGATGTGATCTAAAAAACTATTGAACTTTTGGGGGGGGGTTAACCTCTCTTTTATTGTTTAAATTAAATGTTCAAGAAAAAAAGGGCAAAAAGAAAGATACATATATGTATAAACGGTTTTGAGAAAAAAAATTAAACAGCAAAACAGACTACATACATGGCATTCTGGTAGCCTAAACACACTTTGTTTTTGGCATGACTAACTTGAAAGAATTTATCTTGCTTTCTCCTGCTGAAGAGTGTGCCTAGAAGAGGGAAGTATTCAGTGTTTAGCCAGATTCTCTCACAAGTTTACATGGAAGCATGTGACAAAATAGAAATACTATTGATAAATAGACAATTGACTTAATTTTTTATTTATATTTTTATATAAATATGTATTATATTTTATTTAAATTATATAAATCAATGAGTGACTCTGGGCTCATTGAAATAAATTACATGAAATTGTTTTCTATTTGTGGATTGTTTTGTATGATGTACAGAATTCTACCTTGGAAACTAGATATTCAGTATATTTCATTTTCAAGCATCAGGGTTTAATGTTGTCAATTAGTTTAGATGAAAAAGCTAAGAGCAAGTACAAATGCTTGAAAAGTCAATAATGAAAGTTACATTAAAAAGGAACGGTTCAAAGGAATCTTTAGTACAGTAGCAAGAACATGCTCACTTTAACAGGTAGGAGAAGCTTAATTTAAAAATGTAACAAAAGGAGATTTCTAACTATTTAAAATAGCAATTATCGGTGGCATTAATAATGCATACAGCTTTAAATCTTCAGGCAAAAGTAATGCTTGTAACTGCAGTCCCCCTTCTAATCTGAAATTGGTTGATGTATTATGAAGATTCTTGCTTTTTGCTGAAGAACTGTGTACTTCTAGCTGTATTTTGTTAATTTCAGATTGGTTAATTACTAGTTATTTTCTTTTCAATTTTGCTTCTAGTAAAAATCTAAAAGAGTAAAAATAAATAATTTTAAACAAGGCCTAATATACCAAACTTTATATAGCATTTGGATTAAAGCTGTGTATCACTTCAGTTTAGTAGTTGTGCACAGATCAAAAACAAATATTTGTGAAACCACATGTGCACCTCTTGGCTACTCAGGTAGCAGAAGGTAAGAAAGATTATACAGTCCTAGAAGCTTTCAGCCAGGGTGTACAAACTATCTACAGTCAATGGCCCACTAGGCCTTTTAATTATAAACCATAGTTAAATTACTATGTGGACATCACTACGAAATATCTGATTATTTTGTGTAAGAATCCTTGTGTGATTTTGAAGAACATATTTAATAAAATAATCAGTGTTGAAATACATATACTTAAATATGTGGGGGCACTCAACTCTTGTAAAGATTTTATGTAATTATTAAAAGTATACTTCAGACTTAACTTTAGTTTGATAACAAAGCAGAATGAAGCAATTCAAAACAGAATTATTATTTGCCTTCTCTTTCTCACAGTATTGGAGTTATATAACCATATAGTAAGAATGGATGGCATAATCTGGCAACTATACAAAATAAGGGGCTTTCACTTATATGTAGTAATCAAGCTTCTGGCTCTTCAAAAGAGCCTCTCCTGCCATCCTAAGTAACTGAGTAAATTCATAGCAGGAGAGGAGATTTTGCAGAAAATCAAGCCCCAGTTGTTTGGGTCTTTAAAGTTCAACACCAGTAGGCACTTGGCAGCCAGTGCAAATCTGACAGTACAGATCTGCCCTAATCTTTCTTAGAAATTTGTGATATTTGAAAGTCTCTGAAATATGTACAATGGAGGAATGGTTGATGAAGATGACAGAATTTGCAGAGATGGCAAAATTGATTTGTTTGATTAGGGAAAAGACTAATTACATTTGTTAGTGACTGGAAATCCTTTATGGACTTTTTGCTGAAAACAAAAAAAAAAAATGAACTTGTGATTTACCAACTTGATGATTAGAAACAGGACATCTGGAAACAAGGGAGCCACGATGTAAACTTAAGATAAAATATAAATGCATTTATTACTGCTATAAAGAAGATCAGAAGCTGCTCTTTATATCTTTTTTCTTTTCTTTTTCTTTCTTCTCTTTCTTTTTTCTTTCTTTCTTATTCAGTTGTCCCTTTTTTTACTTTCCCTTTTTTTAAATTTATATTTTTCTATAAAACAATTTCTTCAATAAAAATTAATTTTAAAAAAGGAAATTTGTTATATTTAACTATTGCTTTGATTTCTTTTAAATATCTGGAATAGTTATACCAAGGAAGTTTTCTTCTCTGGATAAATATAAATATATCTTTTTCAAAGTTCAAAAATTCACATAAATAGATGATTAAAATACCATTGAGTTTATGTGGAAAGATAAATGTTGTAAAAATGAATAATATTTCAAGATGGATATATAGATAATCCTATGTTAATAGCTTTATGTTATTTCAAGCAGATTGATAAGATATTAAGAATTTTTTAATAGGAAGGACAAACCCCTAGATTTTCTTTATCTAAATTAAAGCTATCATATGATGGTGGGGTAACTTTCTAGCCTTCAGTTTAATTATTGGGTATATATTTTTATTTCATTTTCTTTCTCCAGTCCAGGAGTCAAGTCAGAAAATCATTGTGGGCATTGTTACCATGTGACCCCTTTCATATGGCTTGGCTCTATTTTTAGCCATGGTGCCATTGCATTTTCTTGCACTGAAGCCTGCAAGGCATATTTGAAGATACAGTGGTACCTCTACTTACGAACTTAATCCGTTCCGTGACTCTGATCGCAAGTCGGGTTGATCGCAAGTCGAAGTAAATTTTCCCATAAGGTTCAATGTAATTACCGTTAATCCATTCCGGCGTCCGCGGACCACGCGTCAGGGGCAGAAAAACAGCCGCTGACCACGCGGCAGGACAGAAAAAATGGCTGCGGACCACGTGTTAGGGGCGGAAAAACAACCGCACACCACGTGGAACGGGCAGAAAAATGGCCACGGACCACGTGGAACAGGCGGAAAATGGCCGTAAGTCGAGGCGAGTTTGTAAGTAGAGGTAAATTTTTGGGGCTGGAGCTGATCGTATCTCGAGAATTTCGTAAGTAGGGGCGTTCGTAAGTAGAGGTACCACTGTATTGGGATGGAAGTGTAATTTCAATCCTTATCCACATGATAAATTTACCCTCTGGCATAGCCCTACCTTTTGGGGCAGTGGGGAATGAAGTCATGAGAAACTAGAGATATTGATACTGTGGATTAGCTTATTGCCAATCAAATTGTTAACCACATTTGGGTTATTGCAAGAAAAATTTGGAATGCCTAAAATTGTGAAATAGTATATTTTGTTAAAAGTTTTCTTGATTTCACAGTTTGGCCCAAATGCAGTGACTAAAACTCCTGAGTAAATATCAATATTGGAATTATTTTGAAGAATTCTAAGTCTACAGTATTTTTATAAACAATTAAGGGATATCACTAAGCTGGATATTAGTTATTTGCAAGAACTCTGAAATAAATAGTTGGAATATCCCATATTAACAAATCAATTGCTAAGGGTCAGTAATAATTATAATTTTGTAATTATTTAATAATTAATTGAGACTTAATAAAAAAAATCATTGATATGTTTCTTATAGTCTTAAGACTGAACAAAGATGATTCAGCAAAAGATTCTTCTTTATGTTTACTGGACACCTTTTCAATCTTTGAAAGGGATTGGCTAACAACCACATTATGTTGCAAAGCGTAAAATAGATGAGATGCTGATCATATTATTTGGGATTGTGCTACTACAGTTTCATTTTTCTTTAATATCTTTAGGTTTGTTAATGTGGTGTTAAAAAGAGCAATATAGTTTAAAGATGTAAATATACATTTTAATTCTATAGCCAAGAAACTGGTACTTAATATAAGAAGAATTATAGATTTATCGGGTATGGTCAGTAACAAAATAGATTATACTCCAAAGTTAAAAAAACAGTGCAACCCCAGATTTACAATCATGGATCACCAGTATGTGTTCACTTTCTATTTATGAGCTGGCTATCATATTTATTAAGAAAGACTGATAAATATTACGGTTAAGGTTTACTAATGTGTTTAAAAATTAGATTGGATTATTTTCTATCTGTAATATAAAATGTTCTTGTTTCCTTTTTCACTTTTTCCTCTTTTCTTTTTTGTCTTTTTTCCCTCATGGTATATTAAAGGAATAAATATAAACTTTAAAAATAGTACTAATGTCAAGTATTGCAGTGGAAAATTATCAGTCCTATATTCTTTATTACTTTTTTCTGTAGTGTAAATTATTTACTGCAAAAGTATTCAAATGAAGCTAATAGTTTCTTATGAAGCTTTTGTAATATGTTATATGTATATCAAAAAGCAAAGCTGTATGAAGTATTTTAAAAATTATACCATTGGTACTATTTTAAAAGAAAGGAATATATACTACTTTTCTTAATAGTTTCCTCTATCAAATCTTAAAATGCTAACTTAGTTCACATATTATTTCTGGAGGGGATGTATCCTAGAAATATATCACAAAGGCATTAGCAAAGTTGTCTTTAACTGAGTAATCTATAGCCTTTAATGTTTGCATGTGGATTAAAAAAAACTGATTTTGCATTGTATGATAATTAGGCTAGTGTGATCTTTGTACTTTTCATGGTTACATAAGCAATCGTTTCAGAAAAGATGATCATCAAAATAAAATGTTTCTGCTACTAAGAAAAACAGACCTAATAAACAATTTCATTTACACTACAAATTATGGAAAAATAAACCTCTTAGGAGTATTGTACAGGTTAAAATATAATTATTTCTCAAAAAGAAAAAGTCAAGATAATTGGTTTTAAACCTATCTACATTTGTTTATTAAAATATATCTGTGTAGTGTTGTGTGATAATGAACCTTGTGTCTTATTTCAGAGAGATTCCCCCTCTACATCCAGACAGTCCCCAGCTAATGGCCATAGCAGCATTAACAATTCTGTTTCGGTAAGACCTCCAGTTCCAGACAGAGAGTATTACAATCTTGTTGGTACTCATCTACCATTCTTTTTATATGTTCAGTGGAAATTTGTGTTCTATTAATAAAATGAAGAATATTTAGAATTCCCCATTTTTTCTCATTCAAGGGTTTATTCAGTAATATGATATTCTCATCAAAATCCCTTTAATGAGTTGCATTCAACCATAATGTAAACATTCAAATCATTTTGAAATATGCTTCTCATTATTCTCATCCTGATTAGCTCAAAGCTAAGCAAAAAGAATAATTTCCATTTTGAACTTTGAAGTTGTGTTTTTAAGGAAAACATTTGTAAAGCAGATATGTCAAGCTTTCAAGACCTAGGCATCATCATCATTATTACTATTGTTATTATTATTATTAAAGTTCTCTAGATTACAACATTGGTTTCCGCTATCTGAGTTAACGAATTGGTGTGTCCCCTGCTATTGTGGTACGTGCACATATTTTGTGAAATATGAGCCTTGCTTGGATATGAAAAGCAAAAGAAACTGTTTTTAAACTGCATTTATAAGCCAAGCTATTAACATCACATCTTTAACACAAAGTGTTACTCTTTTTACCATATGTTCAGGCAAAAAGATATTAGTAAACATTGTTGATATTGCTGCTGTTTGCTTTTTCTCTTTCTGTGAACACACATGGTAAAATGTTATAAAGTACCTGTAGAAAAATGTTGCTTCAGAAATATTCTTTGTATTTCGGCTGTCATCATTTGCTAAAAATTAACAAAAGGTATCAACTTCTGGAAATTATAAGCTGTTCAAAATGTTACAATTACATTTTGATAAAGAAACTAAGTAATTAAATACTAAAATAGATATATATTAGATATACATTTTAGTCATATTCTTTGTAAACTTATAAAGTACCATTAAAACAAGATTTTAAATAAATATATTAGCTTCAATTTGTAATTAAAGTGTTGGCTGATATGAATGCCCCATTAGGAATACAGTTTGAATGTTTAAATTGCCTTCCTTTGTTTAAGGAACTTTTGTGTTGAAGATGATGAATTCTTTATTAAAAGCACACTTTCTGTCTGCTTAAATTTTATCTGCTTCAGCTTGCTGCTAAACAATCTGGGTTTGACATTTTCCTTTATTAAACATTTCTGAAGATGATTATTGTTAATACCTGTAAAGTAGCTTTAACTTTAAAACTGTTACCTATTTTCAAATTAAAATGAAAAATTACTATTCCTGGGTTGGCTTTATTCTGCAGGACTTGCCATCAACAACACAACCAAAAGGACGACAGGTGAATAGCTATTCTCCGTGAAGGCTTTTATAACTTAGTTGCTTCATACCATTTTCTCCTTACCATCTCAGATTTGTTATTCCATTATGTGCTGATTCAGATTTTACATCCTTTTATCATTTTGTGTTTTACTCACATGGCTGATTCACACATATTATTTATCCTGTAGTAGTCCTGAAATTCTAACTTGTTTTTCCTTACTAACAGCTACTCTATTCACTTTCACATTGTCTGTCAACACCAGCATTATCTGATTTCATTTCATTTGATTTTATGATTTTGATTTGTCATGTAATTCCTATACATAAAATCCTATCCAAGAATCATGTATTGTGCATATTTTTGTCTTAATGAATACTGTAATATATGTTATATAATTGTCCCTTCCTAATAGCTGCATTGTCCTGATGAGAGCAGGATGGCTGTTCAAATAGATTCATAAACAATGGAGTCCGCCAGTGTAACATTTGATCAGGCTGAAAACGCTTATGACATATAATAAATGTATTAAATTTAAGTAATACATTAGCAAAATTTAAAAAGGCAGGAAAGCAGCCTCTTTTAAGTGGGAGAGTTGTGGGGAATGGCTATCTCTTTCTCTTTTGGCACTATTGCTGCTGAAAATTACTTTTTCATAAACACAGAGGTTGGGAAAAGACACTTTTGGTTCTTATCTCTTTCTTGCAGGATTAAAAGCAAATAGAGAGGCACATCCTGCTGCTTCCCTTTATTCAATATTGCACCCTCCATAGGAGTTTTTTTTTATTAGTTTTTTGTTTTAATGAAATAGAAGAAATCATCAGCTATTGTTATATGTATTTTTAACTCAGATACACACTTTATAGTAATAATGCAAAATTGCAATTTTAAAAAATAAGTGGAAATCAAAGCCCTTTATGTCAAGTGGTTGCTATGTACAGAATGGATTTTCTGTCTACCCCATCCTTCTCCAACTGAGGATTCCCATACCTCCCTAGAGCTTTCCACACATTTTCCAAACGATCTGGAATCAGAAGATCTGGAATTTAACTACAAACAGAAGGGCTGTTTGTAGTTAAAAAAAATAACAGCCTTAATATCTTCTTTATATTTGTACAATCAAAGGGCCTCTCTAGATTTCAGGTTTTCCTGGATATGTGAAAGAGAAATTAAATATGTTTTATGTATTTATTTAGTTATTAAAAGTCTCTTATAATGAAGGAGGCATGAGACAGTGACCAAAAAGAGGGATAGTATGAAAAGGTCAATCACAGCACAATATTTTCTACATCAAAATTAAATGATAACACTAAATGGATGATAGGTAAGAATTTATGAAAAACTGTTAATTTGGTTGTATCTGAAGAATACAAATCCACATATTTTTATCTGTAACTACCTTAATATAATTCTAGACCTTAGAGCAAATTAAGTTACAGAGATAAAATTGCTTTTTACCATAAAGAATATTATAGACTATAATAATATCAGAGTGTGTCATTTAAAACAAGCCAGTTTTCTTTCTTGTTTTAAATCATGACTTTGCATTTTATATGTAAGACAAATTCAGGTTTCTTTGAAAGTGCACTAAAACACTAATCCAGTTATGCAGAAAAAGCGAAGAATGTGAATCTGTCTCCTCAGATTTGTTAATTTAGAACAATAATCATTGTTCTAAAACATTTAATATGATGTGCAAACCAATTGTAATATTCCTTCATGGAATTAATTTGGTTCATACAATAGTAACAAAAATACGAAATGTTTGATATAGTATTACTAAGCAAAGTAAATGTACCTCAAAAATATACCAATGTACATGATTCCTTAGTGCATAAAGATTCATGTGGCATTTCAAGTACTTACAGCAAATCAAAGTACTGTAGTTTTGCTTTTGCCTTTTTCCCAGATGTTTTTTTTCAACTTCTAAGACTGATCTATAGCCATGGTAATTCCTAAATACCTCCAAATATTAATCAGAGCTGATCCTGCTTGGCTTTTTGAGATCACCCAAGGTCAGCTCAATGATATATATTAAAAAAATCATTTATTCTGAGAGATTACACAGTTGCCAAGTAGTACTGTGTATTGGTTTTGAGTTGGATTTTAAAAAATGTTATTAGTAACTGAATATGTATAGTTTAAAATGCGGCAAATATAAATCATCCCAAGGATGATGTTTCATAAAACTGAACCCAAGCATCTCTTATAATGATCAGTTGAAGATATACCCATAGTTTGTGTCTCTTTCTCTTACCAACTGAGATTAAGCAACAGTTGAGGGCCACTTCTTGCTAGCCAGGTGTCCTGCACGCAAACCCTGTTTTTCCAGATTCTTGTAATTCAGCATTTGCTGTCCCAGCATCAGATGACAATGGTGAAATAGGGAGCTGGATGTATTTGGCCAAAGCACCTGACTTGCTTGGAGTCATATTCTTGCAGCTCTGCACTTGCTATTTGCAAGCAAAAGATCAACCCTAATTGTTGATATGAATATAATATAGTATCAGTGCACAAATTATTTTACAATCCTTTAATTGTGCTTTTTTCTATAATTCCTATAATTTACATTAATATTTCCTCATTTTTATAAATGAGGAACTGTGTGGTTTTGAATTTCTCTACTCATATTCAACATATTCCAAAAGACTGCAGTTAAATTGCTAATTTAAGCAATTTTGAGATCTTGGTTTAATAATGTGTGAAGTTGTCCATTCTGTTGAATTTAGTGTGAAAGTATGTGAGATTCATTAGTGCATGAATGGAAGTTAGCTTGGGCAACAGATCTCTCCCTCCACCTCTTTCCTTCTGCATCTCTCCCTGAAAGCTTCACCCAAATGATTGGGGAAACCTATCAAATACTGCAGGTCTTCATTATAGATCCATAGCTGGGGAAGCTTGGGGGGAGGGATTTTCCTGAAATGTGACAGAACGTTGGCTCTGACTTCAGGTACACCCGTACATCTCTCTAAGATAGTGTCCCAAATCTTCTGCAACTCTATTTGGAAAGGCTGCTTGTAAAAGAAAAAAAAAAACCTTAGTCTATATATGGAAGCTATTACAGATCAATTTTACATCTAAAATTCTAACATATTAACATTACAATTTCTGTCACTAACTCCTGCTTTTTAGATATATGTAAGAGCACAATTTGAATATGATCCAGCAAAGGATGATCTTATTCCCTGCAAGGAAGCTGGCATCAGATTTAGAGTTGGTGATATTATCCAGATTATTAGCAAAGATGATCACAACTGGTGGCAAGGTAAACTCGAGAATTCAAAAAATGGAACTGCGGGCCTCATTCCTTCTCCTGAGCTTCAGGAATGGTATGTTGTTTGGCAATTTATAAACACAGAAGTAGCTTTAATTTTTAAAAATTGAATTGGTTTGTGAATATTTTGTATTTTAAGCATTTGTGTTGTTAGTTGATAAAAAGAATGCTTGAATTAGGTAACTTGATTGGCTAGACTATCACTGAAAATACATACACATATTTGCCATGTAAGTTGTGTAAGGTAGTGTGAAGTATTGATTAGGTCAGTTGCTATAGAAATTTAGCTGGCAGCTTTCATAAGTACAAAATCACATTTGACTAGCCTCTATCAGCAGCCCCAAAAGAAGGAGGTATGGGTGGATACTTGAAAACTTCTGTGTAAGTACAGAAAAAAATGATTAGCCTTATCAGAACAATTGATTAGCCTTATCACCTAGAACAATAAGAAAGCAAGAAAAGTGATCCTGTTATTGAACCTTGTTCAGTTGACAAGGTTTTTTAATCTAATTTCTGCACATAATCCAAAATGGACATCAGATTAATTCTGGATAGAAAGGTGTACAGGTAGTCCTTACTTAATGATGGTAATTAGAACTGGCAACTCCATTGCTAAACAACATAGTATTAAAACATGACATCATGTGTTTGTGCCAACTTACAACAGCAGTTGCAGCAGTTCCAGTTGTGTCATTAGGTGAATCCCACACAGTCATTAGGTGCGACATCTTATGATCACCATTTACGACCTCCTGCCAGCTTCCCCATTGACTTTGCTTGTCAATGGTAATTTGGTCATAAGTCTCCTCATTCAGCACTATTGTAACTTTGAATGGTTGCTGAATGAGTGGTTGCTAAATGAGGACTACCTGTATATGACCTGGCAATTGCCATCTGCAGGTGCACTACTATCAGTTCAACTATTGCTTCCTCCTGAAACAGCATCAGTTTCATTTATGAATACACTGATGATACCATCCAATATCTCTCTTAATCCTCATGTGTTGGTGAAACTGTTATTTGTACTTTTTCCACTCATGTCTTAAGATATAATATAAAACAAGGTTAAAATGATACAAATAAATGTGGCAAGAGAATATTTCTCATAATTCTGCCTGGATGCTATCACAGTAAAGGCAGCCAGCTCAGAATGGTTGAAAAATGCTCCCGCCACCCCCACCCTCACCCTCAAGTTGATTTCCTAAGGCAGGTTATAATAGATTATAGATGGTTTAGAAAAGTGGTAAACTGTTGCAGACAACAGCCTATTTTCTATGCAAAGGGTTTCACTAGATGGCATTTGTTTCGTTGTCATCGCTATCATAACAATGGATTTCAAAGAAATCCTGTTGGTTTTAATTTGGCCTGAACTTTACACTTCTTATATTTTAGTTTCCTTTCTTACTACTTCAGAGTGCTTAGCAATATACTACATTGAGGAGTAGTGTCAATGAAGAAGGTATTTAGCTGCCACAATATTAATAGCTAAAGTAATTTTTAAAATGTTTTTCTATAAAGTGTTCTATCCATAGTGTAACCCGTACTGTCAATAGATCCTGTGGAGAAAGAAAAACCTAAATGATTATTTAGGTTTGCATTAAACTGTCTGCAACAAAATGTTGTTATTATTATTATTCACAATTAATAATGCCCCTACTATCTTGGCGATCTGAAATGAAGCCACTAAATCTAAAGAGGCAATAGACTGCCTTGTATGTTTATTTCTGTATTTTGTTTATATATTGTTTCTTTGAGAAGCTCAGTGTATATCCTACCATTTTTCTGAGGATTCAGTGTCTCCCCTCATTTTATCTCCACAACAATAATCTGAGATAAACTAGGCTGCCTCAATGAATTAGATAGTCAAATGGGTATCTTTGGTTAATGTTATACTACACTGATCTTACATAACGTCTAAGGTCATACCTATGATTTCAAAAAAACTGCATCATACAACTTAAATCACTCTGGATCTTGATTACATTTTGGTAGCTGTTGTCCTCATAACAGCTGGGAATTCCTGACCTGAGCCTATTAAAGATGGTCTCATGGTAACACAGTTGGTCATTTAGTCTGCAGCCAGGAAGTCCATTAGAACACTAATGGAAGTGATGAATATATACAAATACAATTATTTCCCTGGCCCCTAATTTAGGAAAGTATCCACTGGTTATTTATAAGAGGCAAACCTGCCTGCCTTATAGATATTTTTCCTGAATTCAAACTGTACCTGTTGATAATTTAGTTGAAGAGGTCTTATAATTGAAGCTTAATTGATACCTTGTCCTTATATTGACAGAATATGTGTATGAATATTGTCACAGGAGTTTTCTCTTTGTTATCTATAAGTTTTTGTCCAAGACAGCAGAAATTTTGAGAACTAGACAACATTCCACTACGACCTGTCCTCTTTGAGGAGTAAAAAGCAGGAACTATTACAGTGCTGTTGCTATCCTACAAAGTCCTTACTGCTGCAGCTAACATTATAGTCTCCAGAGTGGCTGCTGCACAAGTAAAGAAGGGCTTTGTACTTTAGAATACTCGTTTAAGATTTCTTGAAAATATTTTAATCTGTCTACCAGTAAAAAAGGGGAGGGGATATTATTTTCTGAATTAATATTAAAATAGGTCACCTTTAATGTACAGCTGATAGTTGTTTCCTGTTTACTTGCAAGGCGAGTAGCTTGTATTGCTATGGAGAAGACTAAACAAGAGCAGCAGGCAAGCTGTACTTGGTTTGGAAAGAAAAAGAAGCAGTACAAAGACAAATATTTAGCAAAGCACAATGCAGGTGAGAAAAATACAAATCTATTTACAATTTACTTAAAATTGCTGCACTGTTAGCTTTTTAAACATTAATGTTAATTTCCCAGTGACACATTTAGTTAGAAAAAAATCCACGTGTTCAAATGCAGGAGTTAGCAGTAAAAGGAAATGTAGCTATTAGCCAGATTTAGTTAGTTATATACATGTGCCTCTGGGGCAAAACCTATATTTTGGAAAAAAAGAGATACTAGGCAACCTAAGATTTTGTGGATGAATATGTTTGCAAGTTGAATATGTGTTTCTAGTAATTATTAATCATTGTGCTGATGAATTAAACATATTATTAATTTTACTATTTTATTTAATTCCTTGAAAGTTTAAGCATACTCTGGATTCCATTAAAATGCAGATGTAACTGTACATTTCTTAAAAATTTATATATCAAATTTGTCACTGCCCACCTCGTTAAAAAATGACTCTGGGTGGTTTACAAAGCAGTTAAAATCAATTAAAAATACAATATAAAATTGTCCTGAATAAATAGAAAATAAATATAATCCAAGAATAGATGTTAAATTGGCAGTAACTTGGGGAGTGTCATCAAGGCGCCAGCCACCCCCAGGATTGGGTAAGATTCTTGTCACTCCACACAAGCTGGCAGAGCCAGGTCCTTAATCCTTTCTGGAAACCCAGGAGGATAGGGGCCTGCCACACCTCTGGGGGGAGGATACATATTTTAAACCTGTTCTGTGTTATTTGGTTTTGGATTATTTTAAATTAATAAATCAAGAAATGACAACCACGTTAGACAATACTTCTTTTGAAGTTTACTTCTGTAAATAAAGTATAATATTCTACTAAAGGAAATGTGTAACTGGACATTTAATAATACTACTTGTATATGCTGAATGTCCTTAATTTTATTTCCAACTTTAACATGTCTATTATTTTTTTCTTTCCTTTGTTATTTGCAGTTTTTTTTCCCAGAATATGAGTAGTTTCTTATTTTTAAGAAGATGAGATAACAAATACAGAAGGAAAGATGGATTCATTTGTTTCTGGGAGGGAAGGAATTATCAGAAATGTTTACTCTCTGAATGTTCTAAATTTCACACAAGAAACATAAGCTTTTGAGATTTCTAATTTTCTTTATCAGACAAAAAGTCATGAGCCTGCATGGTAAGAATCTACATGAAAAGTGGAAGGGATCAGCAGACTTACAAATATATTTCATCTAAATTCTATCCATGAACACTTTATCACTTTAAAATCAGATCAGGGTTTTTTTCACTTTTCCTTTTTGTCTGATGAAGAGAACTGGACATGTCAAACGTTTACAAATTTTGTTACCTTGTTTTGGCAAAGGACTTGAAAATTTGGAAAACAAAAACTCAGGAATTTGTTCCACAAGAATAATACTACTTACATTTATTTATGTTAGAAAAGCTGTAATTTTTGTCAGAGTTCTATTGAAAAATATGTTCTAGAATGTAAGCATGGTAAGCAATGTAAACCCTTTTCCTTGCTTACCCATCTTTGCTTCAATTAGTTTCCCATTTTATTTTATGATGTTGTATGCCTAGTTGAGAATGTTGTATTTTTAACATTAATACTGCTGGGAGAATACTGGTTCCATAAAAATATATTACATATAAATAGAATGCAGTCAACAGTTTAGCAAATTATTGTGGAAGAGATGTACCCTTATTTCTGAGATTTTAATTCTTCTTCATTCCAACTTAACTCTCAACTTCTATTTGTATTCAACTAGTGTAGAACCTGCAATAATTTTGTACAGTAACCTATTTGGATTTATTAGCTACAAATTTAAAATACATCATTAAAAAACCACGTCTGGACTTTCATAGGTAGAGTCATCCACAAAAACATACCAACCCTTCTGATGTTCTTCATTCTTGTCACCTGTTTGTCCAGTGTCCCATCCAGATCAGAAATTATTAGCTAAAGAATGGTAACTTCTGCAAAGATAAAGACCAGCAGCTGCTATCAAGTTACTCACCTGTAAAGAGATAATTAATAGCAGTGGTAGAGTGGGAACATCTTGCCTAGGCCTCCCTACCAAAAAAAAAAAAAAAAA